CCGCCCCCGCCTCCCCGCAAGGATTTACGTAGGGGAAAAAAAAAAAACCAAAAAACCACAACACCGTCAAGAGAAGCTGGAATTTCCCCAGCCAGCAGAGCTGGGGTGAGCACCAAGCGAAGAGTCGACAGGCGACGGCTTGAAGCTGGGACTCTCCCAGATGCTCGGCAGGCCCTGGCATGAGCCGGGAGCAAACCCCCCGCTGCAGGACCTGGGCAGGACCAGCAGAGTCCCCAGGCTGAAAAACGTGCCGCCGCGACCAGTGCGGGAGCCTGGCAGAAAGCTTTGGGGCGTTGGCGCGGCCCCCCCGGCCACTCCACAGACCCCGGGGAGGCCTCTGCAGCGAGGGCTATGAGCACCGGGCCTCCCTGCCCCATTCCCACGTGCTCTCGTCTCTCACGTGTTCGAGCACAAACTATTCCCTTAATTATCCCCGACGGCTTTTCCCCAAGTGATCCCCAAAGCCAAACGCAGCCTCTCCTGGGCTGTGCGCCCCGCAGCTCCCCCGACCCATCGCCTGCCCCTTCCGTGGCACTTCGGCGCCTGAGCTGCGATGGGTCAGGGACAGCACTGCTGCCCCGCATCCTCAGAGCTCCGAACGCCGACAAACCAGAAGCAAAAAACACGGCCCAGGGCCCAGAGAGGGCATGCAGAGCAGGGAATGGGGTCTGTACAGTCGAGCACAGCAGAGCTGCCACAAGCAACGGGAACGGGATGCTGGCTCCAGCGATCCCAGATCCAAAAGGATCTGGGGACCAGCCCGGAGCAAGGCGAGCAGCAGAGCTGACCAGGGGAGGAGGGACAAGCGCGGTCCCCGACGCGGATGGCACGTCGAGGACAGGATGCAGGCAGAGCACGAGCACGCAGCACCCCGCAGATCCGGTGCAGCCTGAGTCGCAACACAAAGCAGACGCGTCAAAGCCTACGGCATCCACCAGCCCGTCCTGAGGACGCGGCCTCCTAAAGGGAAAGGAGCCTCTCCAGCAAATCAAGAGGAGAATTAATGCTTTCTTCAAGCCAGGCAGACAGGATAACCCAGTAAAGCAAATACCACCATGGCCTCAACTTCTAAAGCTCTTCCAGGGCCACCTCCGTTGCCCTCGAGCCCTCTGAACTCAGCATTATCCAAAAAAGACGCAACAAGCCCTGCCCGCGCCAGCCAGCTGCGATGGGCAGCACTACAGCAACCCCCAGCTCTTTCACCCCAAGTCCCCATACAGTACTCGTGATTATAAGTGCTTTGCATACATAGTTTGACATCATGCATATACATTTCTATGTGCTAAGGCCCTTGGCCCAGCGGAGATACCGTCCTCCTGCAGCAGAGAGGTCCTTCATTTTGTGTAGGGCTCGTAGCGTGCGTCGGACTCCGGCCCCCTCCTGCTTCAGCTGGCAGGACCTGAGTCTGCAACAGCCTGGCCAGCTGCTGCCCACGCGCTTGCATATCGTAGTGGGAGTTCAGCAGACACCAGTACTACGTAAGCAGCCGATTACGAAAAGAACCGTATTTACAGAGCTACAGTTAGCTTCAGTGGGTTACGTCTGCAGAGATTCACCAAAGACAGCCGGAAAGAACGAGCTGTGCGTCCCACACATTCTGCCGGGAAAAACACGGGTACCAACATGGATTTCACAGCTTAGTTGGCACAGCTAAGGCGAGAGATTCATCGCTAACCAGATCCTCTCTCCCCAGACAGCAACGCTCAAGAGGTGGTTATGACGCTAGGGAAGAAGATGGTGAGGTGGGGCACGGCACAGAGCGGAGACCTCGGCCAAGAAGCCCCACGGAGGAAGGGGTTTCTCCTTTCTAAATGAGTCTCTGCATGGAAGAGCAGCACCCCTCGTACCAGACACCACCACAGCCTGCAAGATCACCAAGGGAAGTGAGAGTGGAGGAAGCACACGCTCAACCGCTCAGCGGAGCCTCCTCCTCTGCCTCCTCCGGCATCCAGGCAGGGAGCCCCTCGCTCAAAGCAGCGCTTGCAGCCGCTCGGCCGGGGCGGTGACCGATGCTGTAGCACATCGAGGAATGGGGAACCTAGCTCTACAGTGATGCGTAGCGGGGCGACCTGGCAGCAAGAAGGGGATCTGACCTGCTTATCGGGGAAAGGGAGGGGGCTGTGCTCGCCCACGGCAATTCAATCACAACTGGATCCCACCTCCTAGAGGCTGGAGCCCACTGGGAGTCAACAGCCCAGCCTTTTTGTCCCATCGGCCAACACGGGTTTCAGCTACTGACCGAAAGGGACACCAGGAACGGTCACAGACATCTCAGAGGCTCTGGAGGGGCAGGAGCACAGAGACTCAACTATACAGGGTGCAAGAGTCCAGAGCCAGAAAGCAGCGCCCTGGGGAGAAGCTGAAGGCAGCTGTTGTGTTGGGTACGGGCTGCTCATCTGGCTGGTGGCTGGGAAAGGACCGGGTGAGCCAGCGTGACATTCAGGGAGTCATTGTGCTGCACCAGGGATGTGTGCTTGTAGTGCAAGACCAGGTCCTTGAGGGAGGCGTAGAGGTTGTAGGGTTCAGCGAACCCGTAGCCGGTCGCCGTTTTGTAGATCACGCAGTGCTTGGTGTCACCGTCCACCCTGCCAGGGAGACAAGGGAGCACGGGTCAGCGGCACGCCAGAGCCCCGCAGCGTGAGGGAGCCCCGCTGGGACAGGGACAGCAGAGCACAAGCGGGCGTCACCGAAGCAGCCCGAAGATACATCTGGCCCTGGCAGGAGGAGCCGAGGCAGACGGGAAACCTCGGGGAAGCCCAGCCTGCCAGCTGACGCCTCCGCCAGCCTCCAGCATCTGGCGAGAGAAGGGCAGAGCGATGCGGGAGCACAGCCCGCGCCAGCTCCATCCC